ATCACCTCTTCCGCTATAAGCGCCTGTGCAGAGCACTCCCAGCTCAGTCACTGCATTCCTTAAAGACATTATACTCATACATATACACAGTACACAGAAAGGAAAGAGACATAATATCATTTATTTCTAGAGAGATAAAAAGGAATAGTAATTGCCTGTAGCCAGCAGGGTATGTAATAGTTGACCTCCTGCATCCTGCCTTTGATTTTCTTCTCACTGCAATCATCTTTCGTTGGCTAATTCCCAGCATTTTTCCCTCAGGCTGCTGGGTTGGCATGGATGGTTAGCAGCTGCCAGTATTTCTCCTCACTGTCAGCTATGAGCTATATTAATGTTAGATGCCTGGCTCAGTCCCACCCAGGGTGCTGCATGCCTTTGCTTTCCAACATATTCAGCTTTTGCCAGCCTTGAACCCAAACCGAGCTCCTGTCTTGCCTTTCTCCATGCAAAGATTAACTGGGTGAGGGAGTTAACCTGTATCAACCGAAGATGCAGATGACAGATTTCACAGGGCTAGACCTCATGGGGCAACGACAGGTTTTACAGCAGCCGTTGAGGAGCAGTAAAGCAGTAAGAACAAAGAAATTCAGCCTGTAGTGTGTGCTTGTGCTAACATCTACTTTGAACATGATTCTCGTAATAGCAAAGAAAAGAGCTGTGTGGATAAAGAAACAAAAAAGCTCCCCAAGCACAACCCACCTCCCTCTTCCTAAAAGTGATGCTGTTACCCTTTGCCCCTTGGAAGATTTGTAAGCCACGGACATCTCATTTTAATCCTTCTGGAAGGCAGTATGTCCAGCACATAGTTCACTACGCTAAAAAAAGTCACCAGCAGTCACTCTTTGAAACTGATTCAAGGAATCTGAGATCTACAGGTAAAACTAATGAGTCTACTTGAGAAGCAAGTCAGTTTTGTAAGAGACAGGATAGTATTAGGGCAGTGTTGCAGAAAGCTAAGACTGCTGCTTCACATGATCTGCATTTAACTTCACCAGAGAGAAAGGCATTTGGTGCTCTCATGGCTGACATGACCAGGTGAAGTTGTTTTTAAATGTATGTTCCAAAGCAAAAAAAATAACTCCAGCAAGGTTGGGAATCTCATTTGTAAACTGTAGGGTTCTCATGTCACTGAGGGCTTTTTTTGTTGATGCTGCTTCTGCCTTTTCACTAACTGCAGCCTCAGCTTTCAGAAAAGCAGATGAGTAAGGTGTTTGCACAGATGATGCTCCTCTGCCCAACGCCCCAGCTTTCAGCTAGCCCACACAGGCTCTATCAGCAAAGCCAGGCAGGTAATAACAGCAAACGAAAAGCCCATCTGACGAAGCACTGGCTCCTTCTCAAGTAGAGTACCACTACAGCATGAATGACTCAATCATCTACTCGAGAGCTATTACTTGCAGCGATGAAGCAATGTTAATTGGATAATGGCCTGCTGCCAGCTAATATTGGCATGACCTACAATACCCCTGGCTGACAGCCGTGTCTCTCTCTTTATCACACCTTTTTTTGTAATCTGGATGGGAAGTGGAAACCATTAAAAAAGCCTCATAAGTGCCATTTAACTTCTTATCATGAATTAAAAGCTTAATTAAGTGCCTTGTTAGAGGAAGGAAGACCAGTTTTCGTGATTAAATAAAACAAAACAACAGTTAGGGGTATGGAGTGAACGAGTAAGTTTACAGCTTAAAACTCAGCTCTTGGAAAATACTAATTTTGAGTTGCATTTAACAGCAGCCACTAGAGGAAAACTGCACAATTGCTGAAAATATACCCTGGGTGAAAAGCGGGTGAGTTTCTACTTGTTTACCAGGAACTGCAAACAAAGAGAAAAGTGTAGAAGTTAAGAGCTAACAGTCAATTTTTAGTAGCTGTAGGCAGCTGACACACTCCATTCCTCTAACTCTGCTCTGATGGCTGATAGTCCACACACCACAGCCACATATGAGCCCTTGTTATTAATGTTGATGGCTTTCCAAGCATTTGTCTACAAGCAAAAAATGTGTTGCTTTAACAAGAGGTGTTGTACAAAATCAAATTGCCAAGGCTAGCACTAAAGGGTTTGTGGAAACTCTTCAGTCAGTGCAGAATTAGCTCCATACTGACTTAGCTTAAGTTGATTAGGGAAAGGTTTGAACCAAGGCACATAAAGTCATGCTTGAACTGACCTGAAATGTCTAACACAAGGTTTTGCAGCGGTTTAAAACCCTGTAAGTGCAAATAGTTCCAATTCTGTGTGTGCACAATGTCTCCCAACTGAAATGACTGGCGTATCATGAAGACTGCTCTCACTTGTCATTGGATATAAACAAGAAATAATGCAAAAAACATCTGTTCACTGTTTAGCTAGTTAACAATGTCTGGATGCCAGATTAACAAACAGATCACAACATGCTATGAAGGCAAAAAAGAAAAAAGGTCTGTAATTCAGACTTCAGAGGCAGATTTACTGATCTGAATAATCAAAAATAAATTATTTTGTTTTGATGTTAAGCTTTCTCACATCAATATTACATGAGTGTAAACCCTTTATATAGAGAGGTTTATCCAGCTCCAGCATCAAAACTTTGAGACAGTATATTAATAATGCCCAACTGCATGCTTTAGCAGTTTTCAAACCACTCCAGAATTTAAAATGCAACATTTGCACGGTTGGCTTAAAAATATATTTGCTAATTTAGGAGAGATTGTCACTCTTGGAAAAGTTTCGAACAGTTAAGACTATATTTAAAAATCATTTTCAATCTCTGTTTTTCTACAACAATTATATGCCAACATAAATTGTCTCTAAGCATGGAAAACATACTGGCTCAGGACATTAACTTTCAACTTTTGTTTGAAACTTTTCTACTGGAAGAGTAACCCCCGACATGACAGCTTAAGTCAGTTTTCACATATACCTTTAGAAATAATTCAAGAGGTGCCAGAGCTCTGCAGACATGGACTAAAAACAATAGCCCTGGAAAGAGCCATTAGCTTGTGAACTGAAAAAAACCCTGCTATCTTCTTTTAATGTACTAAAAAGAAGATGTTTTTTCCCTTGCTCTATCAGCTCTTAAAAAACAGGAGTTTCTCAGTTCCTTTTGTGGAGAGCTCTGATGCTGTTCTTTGTTGGAGGCACTTCCCATATCTACAGGAAGACAAATCTTTATGCTTTAAACCTTTGGAGTCATATGAACTGGCTTACCCAGTGCAGACACACCATCCCAACACAGGACTAGCTTACTAAGTGCAGACACATCACCCCTCCGCCACCCTGCTCCTTCCAGTGGTCTGCGGCTGGGGATCTCACCGCCACTGTGATTAGAAATCTACTAATTTCCAATCTACTTTTACTAAAAGCCAGTTGAAACCAATCAATGCTTGTGTCACTACTAGTCTTTTAGTATTAAAGAAAAATGCCTCCTCTCAGCTATTCATCTCCTCTGCCTGAAGGGAGTTGCAGCATGTTGCACCTGCAGGATGAACCTGACATGGTCCTGTCTTCTCCTTTAGGCCAGGCTCCTTCTTCTGCACATCTCAGTCACTCCTGTATTTGCTTATTTGAATTCCAGTTATTTTTCTTTATCTAACTGTACCTGAATCATACATGGAAGTCTCACATAGGCTTTGCAGAAGACCACTGATACTCTCCAGTATCTTCCTATGTGTGCATGTGTCATCTCTTTGCTCCCACTCTTGCTTTGTCGTGCAAAAGGTATGTGGCACTGACTGAGACTTGATTGTTCCACTGGAAATTATTAGCGGACACTTTAGAATCATAGTGCGCATCCTAGCGCATCCTCTGCGATACCTTTTAACTCCTATGCAAAATGTCTGGGTTGAAATTTCTTCATGAGTAATATTCAGTGTCAAGACTCATGAAGTCACACACGGTGACCTACTTCTTCTAATGCTCTCCAACTTGTGCCGTGACAACATCACGATGCCTCTGAAGTCTCTGGAGAGCTAAACCAGAGGGGGGAAAATCATGTGTGACACTTCAGGACCTGTCATCATCTAAAAACACATTGTGCTGCCTCACGGGCAAATGTTGGTGAAAAAGCCTCTGTATTCCAGAGTACCTTCCCACTGATTGACTGCCATCCCCTCCTTGGGGACACCACTGACCCTTGTTCCCCTCATTGCAGCTGGAGATGCCAGGCAGGCAGTGCTGAGGCAGAGGGTGAGGGCAGCCCTGGCCAGCAGGCACATGCTGCCCGTGGGCAGCAAAGCCACCAGCGTGCCCTATGGTACCTGCACTGTCACGTCCGTATGGCTGTGAGGAAATTACAGTGGGGGTGGAAGCCAGCCAGTGAGATTTTGTGGTAAAATAAACTTTCCAGTGAGGTATTTTCTAAGTCCCTTGGCTTCCTGCTGTGGGAGCCACGCTGCATGAGAAAAACCCTGCTTTTTGACAGACTGTGTTCATGGTTTCTTGATGGAAAACACACGGCCTGAAGCAGTCAAATCCCAAACTTGTCATGATGGGAGGCGAGAGGAAGCAGGGCTGAAGGAGGTGCACGAGTGGGGAAAGAAGAGGACGAGGATATGAGCTGTTAGAGAAGAGTGGACAGCAATGAGACTCCCAACAATGTGACAGCTCAAATGATTTTACAACAATAACCTGCCATCTAGCAGCCACATTACCCCTTTTAAATTTCCTGTCTGGAAGAGCAGAATATCAGGGTCCTGACAACGCCCTGAACGCAGCTATGGTAATTAAGTGTTTGGGTACAACTCCCTCGGCAGCAGTCACAAAAGCGAGCTGAAGCATCTTAAAGCTTTCACACCATAATCGTTACCCGTTACTGCTGGTATGGAAGGCTGCCATGAACATGTCCATCCTTCAGCTATTCATAACACACCCAAACACAAAATCCACATCCAGAACTGTGTCAGGCCAGGCACTGACACCCACGCCGCGCTCCCCTCGGCAACCTTCGCACACCAGGGAGCTCTTCCTCACCGCGCGGGGGGGAAGGGGCTCGTGTTCACAGCCAGGGCCCGGGGACATACTGTACCTCTTCCGGCAGGCTGACCACCAGCTCATTTTCCGTCTGCCCTACCAAGGCCTGCAAGAAGTACTCGCTGCAGGCAGCCAGCACAGCCCGGTGGGCGCGGAACTCCTTCCCCTCCACGATCAGCGTCACGTCACAGAGAATGTCCTGCTTGCGCTGGTCATTTAAGCAGAGGAGAATATTGGTACAGTGCACCGTTGACTCATACACATACATGGGGGAGTCAGTCTTCTCATCCACAGACATGCCGTTCACACCCTGCAGGGGAGAAGGGAGGAAGAAAACACAAACAAGGTGGTGAGGAGCAACGCAGCTGCCAGGCCAACGTGGCACAGTGGGATGCTGCCTGACTTCTGGATACCCAGGGACCACAGCCCAGCGGCCCATTAATTCTTAAATGTGAGCAAGTTGCTTGGGGAAGGTACTGGGAAGGGTGTTCACTTCCACCAGCTTTAATTCTGCTGTGCTTTGATTACATACTCCTCCACTACCTTCCCCGTTCAAAACCAAAACAGGGTTTAGATGGACTGCAAAGTGCTTTCCTTCAACCACCCACAATTTTTGATTTAGCAGAGGCAATAACATGGGGACATGGGAAATTTTAGAAGATTTTAGCAAAATAAGCAAGAATGACTGTCCCTTCTTCTAACAGTGAAAAAAGGGGCTTTGTGCTTGCTTCTGTTACTTTCAGATCAAGGGAAAAAAACCCCTCAAAACCCCAGTCTGTTCTCCAGTTGACAGGCAGCGCTGTTTGTTCACAGCTCAGCTCAAGCGAAAGGTAAGGTGGAACTGTCCTCAGTGAAGCCAAACCACTAACTACAGCAACTTTGTTTCTCAATCAGAATTAGAGTGATTTTATGCCTTAAGAGGAAGAGAAAGAAAGTGGCTTCAGAAGAAGTCTGTTTCCACCTATGGAAAGCAACATGCCTTCAACAGCAGTTTAATGGCATTTACAGAGAACAGCGTTTTTGGAATTCCAGACCCACAAACATAAGAAAACCCTTTGACCTGTGTGGAGGTCCAGCCCCAGGTGGAAGGGCAGCATGTGGCTGCTGGGGCTGCTCCTGCCTGCAGATAAGTCTCCCCCTCCTGACAGCAGAGCAGAGGTTGGAAGCATGCAAGACACCTGTTAAAACTGTCTGAGCCGGAATTTATTTGCCTGCTGTTCTGCAACTTCTGACACATGTACAACTGGCAATGCCTCTGGATGTGGAGACTGGACTTGTGGTGGTGATGGGGATCAGTTTCCCCCAACATTGCAGGAACCCCCTTTGCATTTGAACATGTTGGACTAATCCTTTCACCCAAAACTTTCTGCCCAGCACCAAAACTGAATGCTCTTTGCATTTTTTTTCCATTTTAGTTTCTCTGAGTAGAAAAGTATAAAAGCCTGCTGTGTGTCTGAACACACTGTGTACTGCACAACAAACCAAACGCACTTGTTTTAGGACTTACATGAGGAAAAAAGATTATTTGTATGCATTATTCTATCTGCTGCTGAAAGGAAAGTTGTGCAAATGCAGAAATGTCAAGTATTTTAAGGTATTATTTTTCATTATTGTGAACAACAACAGCCTTCTGAAAGGCAGGATTTAGAAGCATACAGGGCTCAGGGCAACAGATGGCAGTATTTTGGTTTAATACTCCTACACTCTAAATATCTGACCACTGACCACTAGAGAGTAGAAGCAAAATTCCTCCTCTGCTGCTTTTTAACATGGATCTTTACAGCATTTTCCTTTGCTAGTACAATATATTAAGTACATGAGTAGACAGAGTATGACGTCAAACTATTTCCCTTGCCATGAGTTCAAAGCAGGTTACCATTCTCCTACAGTGTCATTGAAAAGATGCAAATGATCTAGACAAGATGGACTTAAGAGGATCTGCTTGTTACTTCTAAGTATTTACTAGACTTCTCAATGATAACTCCACCTTTTCCACCTGTACAGGAGCATTTTGAAGCCTGACTCTTTCTACAAAATAGGTATTTTTGACAACATTACAAAATGATACTATTACTGGAAGTCTTAATGGGATGTTTACGACTTCTCTTTTACTGGTATTTTCAATATCTACTGCTGACTCACGCTATACTTCTGAGTACCCACCTGAAATGCCTACATGAACAGAAAACAACCAACCAACTAACCCAGATTAGCCCTTCACAGGCTTACTTTCTAGACAGAAGACACATAGCTTTTACTGATCATGCAAGGCATCCAGACAGGGCAGGGAGATACTGGGGTTTTTTTTTATGCTACTGGTTGGATTTCTTAACCAAAAGAAAACTATTTTTTTAAAATTTTTTTTTCCTTCTCCTCATAAATTGAGACTAACGAGAAGAATTGGCAGCAATCATTTCATTAGCACCCTGGTAAGGTAAAAGAGAAAATGATACTTAGCTCATCCCACTCATGGCTTTCTGTGTAACTGAACCCTGATGCTAACGATAGTGTTACGATGATGTTCTAAGTGGTCACTCTTGCGTGCTATGAAACACAAGAGTTTACAAGAACAATCTAGTGGGAAAATCTGAGAGTTGCAAATTACAATGCAAATGGGAAAGCAGTAATTTCCCCCCCCCCCCTTTGTTTTCCAGGCACATCTTATGCTTGTATTGTCTCAGATGATGAAGAAATTTACAAGAAACCTGAATGCAGGCAGGTACTGAACAGAACATAAATTACATTTTCAGTACTTTTTTTTTCTTTTTTTAAAAAAAACAACCAAACAAAAAACATGGTTTGCCTGAAACTGCAACCTTTTTTTTTTTTTTTTACAGTAATAGTGCAATTTGTGTGAATCAAACCCTGAATTACTTGGTTGCTAATTAGTAATTTCCCTTTTTAACTACAGCTCTCATCAAGTGTCTTTAAAAAAAAAATAATTCACTGCATGCCCTGTGAGGTGCTGAAAATACCAGGGTGTACTTCCCCACTGGCAGGCCAGCCTGCCTGCTATGCTAGGAAACCTGACTGACGTGCTGCTGAGATCCTGGGGCTGCAAAGTGCACCAGCCGCTCCCGCGGATCCCTACCTACGCTCCCGGAAAGGACCTCCACCCAAGTGCTCCTATTGCCATGCTTCTGCAAGGCTAGTGTTGTGACTCCAGGGGCTTCCTGAAGGCAGATCCACACTGTGCCCCTTCGCCCTGCCACTGAGAGCCTGCCTGGATGCCCTGGCCAGCAGCTGCAATCTCAGGCTGACACAGACTTCCCCTGGCTGTGTCCCCGGCCGCTCCAGGAAGCACCCCAAGCCCTGCATTGCGCACAGGGAAGCCAGGGCTGGGCTACAGCTCAGGACCACCTATTTATCAGCTTTTAATGTTTCAACACAAGTGATTTATGGTCTTCCCTTTTCCATCATCTGCCACCGACTGAATGACCTACAGGCATGAGGTGTTTCCTCTCCGAGAGGGCTTTATCCTGCACCACAGGAGCAAGATGGTGAAATCCTGCACTGGGAAGTATACTGGGAAAGGGTTTAGAGTGTAAAGAGAAAAGGTCACCAAAGGGCTCTGGCAAGCAGTAGCAAACTAATCAGTAGAATTTAACTTTTTTTTTTTTTTTCCTCTCCTTGGAAAAGAAAAGCAGGGATTGGGTATTAACTGAATTATGAGGCAAGCCAGACTGGAAGTCTTTTATACAGCATTAATTCAAACAGCCTAATTCTTTTCTGAATTCAGTATTGTGCTGAGTTTGCAGGACTTTCTTCATGGAAATCATTGTTACACACTTGGTATTTCTTCAAACCGAAAAGAGAGAATGTCTTAGCAAGCCTTTCTCTGGCTCAAAAGAACATGCTGTGCATTTGTTTGCATATAAGTCACCCCACTGCCAGAAAAAGCCTCTTTGAAACAAAAGTTTCCAGACACTGGCACAAACTACTGCGGGCAAGGAAAGCACCATTGAAACCTTGCCAAAAAAAGTTGTTGGTAAAGGCCAACAACTGCAGTAAAGTGAACTGGAGCATTGCTTACATGGACCTTCCACAGCCATGGGCGGGAGAGCCCACTGGGCCCTTCTTCATGGGCAGCATGGAGGATGCATGTGAAACCTCAGGAGACCAAAAAAAATTGCTCATGGAACATCCAAATAAATTTTGTTTGCAGCACATTGTCTCTACTGGCTGGCACTCACCCAAAACTCTCCAGGAACTCATGGACACACTGCCTGAGCTGCTATAAAAAAGACATTACCTACCATGAAAAACCAGCTCCTGCCTCACAAGGCTAGAAGGGGAGGCAGAGTGGTGTCTGTTTTTAAAGGGAAACACAAAGGGAGAGAAAATCTTATCAAGACAGACCAGAAAGTCCTGCATTAGAACTGGGTTCATTATGTGAAAGGTAAATCTCAATCGTGGCAGAGCTACAGAGCATTTAACCAGGCAAATTATCATCGTGACAGAGCAGCATGGCTTCTGCAAGGGGAAGTCGTGTCTCTGATGGGCTCTATTAGAATTCCTGAAGTGTATCAAATTAGCAGTGAGGAACACTGGTACGTGTAATTAGTGTTGACTTTCAGAAATCCTTTGACAAAACCTTTACAAAAGGCTGCTAGAGAAGCTCATCTGTCATAGGTGAGAAGTTGCATCAGGCTGGAAATCTCTTAAGGCTAAACCGTATTCAACAGAGAAGGGATGCACGGGCAATTTTCAGCAGGTTAACAGTGTCATTCCTTCAGAAATGAAACAGCAGCAGTCCCAGAAGATGCCTATGGCCATGCCATGCAACATGCCTGAGCCTGAATGACCTCTGAGGGTGAAACAGAGTTGGGCACGTTTAGTACTTGGATGGAAGACTGCCTGGTCGTATGAGGGTCCTAACAGCAGCCTGCCGCTACCTACAGCAAAGTCAGCGAGAAGATGGACGCCCCATCTCTGAAAATGTTGAAGGGCAGGCTGGATGGGGCTTAGAGCAACCTAGTGTACTGGGAGGTGTCCCTGCCCATGCAGGCAGGTTGGGACTAGATGACCTTTAAGGTCCCTTCCAACCCAAACCATTCTATGATTCTATGAAGCCAGACAATGAGAACAATTTGAAAAAACAAGAAGTTTCGACACGACATAAGGAAAAACAGAAGAACAGGTTGGCTGGAGATGTTATCTTCATGCTTGACAGTTTTCAAGACAGGCTGGATATAGCACTGAGCAACCTGCTCTGATGTCAGAGCTGACCTCCTTTGAGCAGAGGGCTGTGCTAGGAACTTTCTGAGGTCCTTTCCAACATAGATTATCTGATGATCC